ATGGGAAAATGTCCGATCCGTTGCTTTGTAACCGAATAATGGACACCCTAACCACTAAGCTACATATCATGTATTATTTATCGTTGTTCTTAATCCCGTAGTTTTAGACAACTCACTATTCTTTATTTAGTTGGTGAGACTTTATTGGTTGAACGTTTGAACGTTACGGACAATTATTCAAAACCATTCCATGGATATAAAAACTAAAATAACCCAATCACATGCTTGCAGATAACCTATCGTAAACTATTGACTATGTCAATGAAAACCGACTCTAATTGAAATATTATCCATATAGTTACCAATAACTAACTGTAGCGAATTGTTTAGCACTATATTGATTGACTAGTATAATTTTAATTGCATTTATGTTGATGTAGAACATGTTAAATGTTGGGATAATGTATTGATGAAATAATAAACCAATCAAAATGATATTTTTTTGGGGGGAAAAAAGGGATACATAGGAAATCAATAAATATATATTCGTGAAATCGAATAAGGAAATATGCATTCTATCCACATTATCTTAATCACCATGTTACAAACTTCGATAGATTTGTTCATTTGTAAAAATTGGTCAATATAAATATTGTTTATGGTCACTGATCGAAAATATTTTCATATTTTGTTTGTTGACCTTTTAAACTGAAACTGTCAGTAACGTTAATAACGTTTCCTTTGAAAAAAAAAGTAAATACTTACATTATGTTTGTGTTTATATACAACCTAAATGTTGATATATAATTACAGGTAAAAAATGAATTTCAATGTATGCGAATATAGTCCGTATATGTAATTGTGAAGGAATGCATTTCGAACATGTAACATTATTTTCAAGTGGCTTAGTTCATTGAACACCTCTATGTAGTAAAAAAAAAGTTTGAATATGCATCATTTCGAATTTCGTTTTCCATTACTCTTGCGTAAATAGTAATTAGAGATTGACTAAATAATCAGCTGTCACAAATAGTAAGCCCTTACAAGCAGAAGCAGTAATCTTCATTAACTTAAATAATTACCTTTTAAAGAAGCTTCGATTCATTGGTGTTAAATAACAAGTGACGGATGAGATGGCCAATTAGTTTCATGGTGGTTGATAATCATTAGCAAATTATGTCTGCGGCCTCAAAAGAACTAATACTCCATATGGGGTTTTCACCCAAGTCACACAGTGTCCCAATCAGAGACATAATCATTGTTCGACATCAAATCGTTTAGACTAGTGTTCACACTGGAATTGGGTCAATACATTTTGATCAGTATTAAAGACTACACAAACATAATACTGATTAGTACTTATTGATAGTTTATTAATTCAAGAATTTTCCATTAACTAATTTAATTCCTAAAATTAGAGTTTTATACTTTTTTTTATACGTTCCTTTAGCAACAAACATTAGAATAATGTGACTGAAAATCTTCTGAAGCTTGACCAACGTAGATGAAGTTCTTTTCTATTGAATTATGAATAATCTGTCTGACAAAACAACAAAAGTCTACAAATAAATGCTACTGACGAAATTAATTATCTTAGTATTAATTCTGATTACTGAAAGTATTGGTACTACGAAATAATACAGATTTTTCACCACTCAAAGAAGCACATATTAGCATGAGTTTTGTGGAGAATTTTAGGAAATTTCACAGGTTGAACTCATGAGTCAGTTGAAGCCAGTAGGTCCTGGGTTCGAGCCCCACGTGGTGCGGGATCCTGGATGCACACTGCTGAGGAGTCCCATACTAGGACGAAACGGCCGTCCAGTGCTTCCAGGTTTTCAATGGTGGTCTAGCTTCAACTGACTCATGATTTCAACCTGTGAAACTTTTATATGATCGGATAATCTACAGACACAAAGATCTTGTAACTAGAAAGATACTTTGTTTTATACCATAATGATATTTTCGATATTCAGTCAGTTCATGTGAATTATAATCAATATGAAATGAATTGGGCGAATATCAATCGTATCCGCTTTAATTAATCGTTTAAAACTGAATTTTTGATTTGATTTCGAAGATTTAATCAGTCTACATCAATTGATACATCACTGAAGCAGTATATAACATACTTAGTGACGGTCATTGTGATCAGAATATTCTCGATAATTCAAATTAGTCTTTTCCAGTTTTTAGTAAGCTTACACGATCTTACCATTAGTCATCATTATCATTTTGTAATTTTAGACAGTTTGTAACTATCTAAAATCATTAGTTAAAATATCCACTTCTCAAAAAATATACATCTACTACTAGTAATTAATCTGAGAGCGAATATCCACACTAAACAATGAAATTTTCTGGAATTGTAACTTGAGAATGACTGGAGTTGTCTATAATAAAACAGTAATATTTTATTAATCATGATTCTTCCAATTAAGTGGTTAAGAGTTCTCATCCTTCTAATTATTCGAAAATCGGAAAACAAAAATTTCAATCTGACTTTCATCACTGGAACTGATAACACTGAAACTGTTGAGTTAAGGGATAATTAGTTGTTAAGTGAAACTAACATTTAATTATGATCGCTACAGAAGATTATGTTTATTTGAAAGTTTTACCCCCGCCCTATTGAATGATATGATCTAACTACTCCAATGGAATTTTAACACTGGAAAACAAATCGACATTATATATTGAATGATTTCATTCTGTTGTGTTTAAAATACCCTAAACAAGTTTAGTTGAACAAATACACTTTAATTAAAACTACCATTTTTGATTACTCAAAGATTACTAGATACTTGATGATAGAATCTCTTTATGTTTACTCCTGAGATTTTAAAGGATGGTGATCCAGTATTAGCACTGAGATTAACTGAGGTCTTAGGTAGAATTTGGGAACTGGACGCAATCCCATCTGACTGGTCTCAATCACTGATTGTGCCAGTTTATAAGAAAGGACAAAAGTCCTCTTGTGACAATCACAGAGGAATCAGTTTGACTAATATAGTGTCTAAAATATTAGCTTCAATAATACTTCGACGCCTAACCAAAGCTCGTGAAGAGCAGACTAGAGAAAATCAGGCTGGTTTTCGACCTGGACGTGGTTGTATAGACCACATATTCACACTACGTCAGGTTCTAGAACACAGACACACGTTCAGACGCTCCACAATAGTAGTATTTCTCGACCTTAAGGCGGCATTTGACTCTGTTGATCGTAAAGTTTTATGGCAGTGTTTGTCACTGAAAGGAGTACCAAAGAAGTACATTAACCTTATACAGTCTCTCTACTCGAACACAACTGGTAGAGTGAGAGCTTATGGCGAACTGTCATCAGAATTGATTACCTCAAGTGGTGTTCGTCAGGGTTGTCCACTCTCCCCATTCTTGTTCAACTTTGTCATTGACGTACTTTTAGAGATAATATTTTCCTCGTCTAGATTTCCAGGGGTTGAACTTCTACCGGGAGGTTCACTTGTTGACTTAGAATATGCTGATGACATAGTTTTATTTGGTGAAGACGCTGACAAAATGCAGAGTCTTCTGACCATTCTAAGCAACAATGCAAGCATGTTCGGGATGTGATTCTCCCACTCGAAATGCAAAATGTTGCTTCAGGATTGGGTTGTATTGACACCCGAACTAATGATAGGGAGTGAAGTAATTGAGCGTGTCGACCGCTTCACTTATCTTGTAAGTCTCATCAGCCCTTGTGGTCTGGTGTGTGACGAAATCTCAGCACGGATACAGAAGGCTCGACTAGCTTTTGCTAGCTTGCGTCATTTATGGCGTAGGCGAGATATCCGTCTATCAACCAAAGGACGTGTTTACTGCGCAGCAGTTCGTTCCGTCCTGCTTTATGGCAGTGAAACATGGCCGGTAAGAGTAGAGGATATTCGTAGACTACTAGTATTTGATCATAGGTGTCTTCGAAATGTTGCTCGTATATCCTAGAACCATCGAGTAAGTAATGCAGTTGTTAGGAAACGGGTACTAGGTAAGGATGGCAAATCAATTGATGAAGTAGTGAAACTTCATCAGTTAAGATGTCTGGGACACGTGTTACGTATGCCCAACGACCGACTGCCTCGACGTGCGGTGTTCAGTGGTATAGGAGTAGGTTGGAAGAAAGGTAGGGGCTGCCAGACCAAAACATGACACAAATCCATGAAGTCACTGACAAGTGGACTGAGTCATGTCAGTAGGTGTAGACTACCTGGTTGGGGACCGCGAGATGATAGCAACCGATGGTTAGAGATCTTGAATGACATGGCTCAAAATCGTTTGCAGTAGCGCAGGTGCATCCACTATTTGTGTTCTCCCAAATTCTAATCTCCTGAATCCTCCTTGTCTCTTTTTCCTCTCTCCAAATTTATTTCACTGCATTATACTGTTTAAATAACATCAAACACTAATCTTCCCGATTACTGCTTATACTCTTACTACCTCTATCACTACGGGATTTGAATCGACAACTGCATCTCTGTGCTAATGTGGTATGGCAACTCGAACTGATGTACGTACATACGAAGTTCTACACTGTTACTGACGGAAGTGATAAATTCAGCAAATACTCAAATTCTAACGTTATTTCAATTTTACATCTTTTTTACAATAAGTTAGAGATAATATCATTCCCTGAAGAAAAACATATTCTGTAGGACATTGAATTTATTTAAAATACTAATTTCAAATGCATTGCATAAAAATAATGTCAACAATTCATAGGATCGAACTGATTATTAGTTTACACAAATAAACAGATTGTGAAATTAACAAATTATAAATAAAGATCTAAATAAGTAAACAAGGCACAATTTTTGTAAAATAAAAAAAGCATATAAATATATTCTTTGCAGAAAAAAACACATAATCAATGCAGCTTGAATAAATAATGTCTACTACCTTTACTATTCCCCAAAAGGCAATAAAATTTCCTTGGTATTGGAAATGATTGGGAATAAATAAATGCAAACAAGTCAAAGCATATTAAAAGCAACAGAGAGTTAGGATTTGAAAAGATAAAGGGTTTTTTTTACTGATGACTATAAACATCATTTTAACTGCTTTAATGCTGTTAGTAGACTTTCCGGTTTAGGTGATGAGGCAACCGCTGAAACAGTCAAACCTAATTCTTTTAATCTTGTTGCTGTTGCGCGTCCCATAGCAACCAACTGATTGACAGAGAAAGTCGGGGTAAAACAAGTAATTATTAATAAAATTCGCTGAAATTTAAAACTTCTACATAAAATCATACAATTCAATGGAGATCATATACAATTTTTAGGACAACCTGGATCAGTATGCACTAATATCAGATAATGACCAAGTACTAACTGATGTGATTTTGAATAATAAAGTTATAGTAAACTCTTTTAGTATGACGTTTAATAGGACTACTTGACCGTTTAAGTCCAAGCAAGCACAGAAAAGTTTATGGACGAGGCCTATGAAACGTAGCTTAGTGCTATAATTACTATACTTTTAACGATCGTCACATTTGATTCTTCCACAACTACGTTTTTTATCAGCTGGACATTAAGTCTAAACCGTATACATCAAGTGTGGTTCGGCTGACCACATACACTTATATCTTGTTATAAGTTATGTCTACTTAACTATTTATAGTATTATTCGCATACCTAAATTAAAGAACCAAAGCTGAAATGATAGTGAAGGCAAAAGAACCTGGAATGCAGTCGCCTTCTTGTCATTATTATGATATAAGATTGGAGAATAAATGGAGATCACAATTCCTGGCTCGCTTAGTAATCTTGAGATCACTGATTCGAACAAGATTTCCACTAACGTATGTGATCTTGTCGTTATAATAGCTGCGTTTCATGACACTCTAGATCACTTGAATACCGAGTAGATAGTTATGAGGAAAATTTTTGAAACTACATCTAACAACAAAATGAAACACAAACATTTTCTAGTTTGCGTGTTTTCTGACAGTTCATCATTGTATTATTTTCATGAGCTCGAAAAATATTCCTCTTTATAAAACAGCACCAAACATTCGCGCAACAGCCAATCAACAATCATCTACCGCAAAATATGGAAGTTCCATAAAACAGTTGTGCACTTCTTAATAATTTGATTGATTCATCAATTAAACTGTTATGAAGTTTGAATACTTCCCTTAAGTCTTCAAGATTCACAGCTATCAGAATAGATTTCTATGAGAACAAAAATAATTTCGTTTGCTCCAGCTTATCTTTTTTCGTAACTAGCCACTTTAACCTCTAAACACATTGCATAAATTTTCAAGAAGTTATTGTTTTACAGGCTAACTAATCTTCAGATGTTTTGTTGAATATAATATGAAAGGGAACCTAAAACCTTATCGGTAACCCTACTTCCGCTCATTTTCCATGATAAATAAAATAAAATAAAAATCTGTCTCAAATTTAGCATATTAGTACTAAGTAAACTACAACAAATTGTTTATGTATCTCATAAGATGACAGAATAGATCTATGAATCTACGAAAATTATTTTCAGCTTCATCACAATGTAGTAATGAACATGTTAGAAAATGATGACGCTGAACACAAACTAAATATGTATAAAGACTATATGAGTAAACTTCAAGGCTTGATTTAGTATAAGAGGAAAAAGTGCTAGTATGTCTCCATAAAGTTGGTGTGTTATGGTGTATGGTATTTGATGTCAGTTTAAAATGAGAACTAGCTTCCATATACTATTTGTTTAGCATGATGTAGTTATTTCCAATAATCCTCATGGATAAACCAGGGCTAAAATTAAACTGGTTAGATGAAAACGCAAGTTCAGAAACTTTGGATAAAAACAATACGGACACCTTTTTAAGTGATATAAATTGGGGATGTAGAAAAAACATACACTTACTTTAATATTCGGTCGATGTGGTTTAATTTCGGTTAATAATATATTCTCTGTCAATGAAACGCCAGAGGGACTGAAAAATACTAAACATTCAGGGATAGGATTTCCTTCCTATAGAAAGATACAAACACTAACAAATTATTTTTATAATTATGGGCCTCAATATCATACAAAAGAACAATCAATTACAAACAATTGGTACCAAATATTTGCAAATTCATCTGTGCCTTACTGATCGATTTTTTTCGATTATTAATGTTGCTAATTGGTACCAAGGACCTTCAACTAATATTATTTAGTAGTACAAATCTTCAGAGAGTATGTTCAAAACTACTTTCCAATTTAAAAATAACACAGCTTGAACATTCTTGTTTCCGAAGGATTCCTGAGCTAACATTCTGCAAGTAAATTCTACATGATTGTCCTATTCTCATTTCAAACCATGAACTTTGGAAATATTAGATTTTGCAACTGAGTTCTTCTGTTACCTTATCCATTATCAAGCTTTATGTACTTCTGTGGCACGCTTTTCAATGACAAACGTTGCCAAAAAACCTCTCGGACAACAGGTAGTTAGTACTTACCAGTAGGATTCAGTCCAAAAGTCAATGACTTCACCGACTGATTCCAGCCAATCTGTTTTTGTTTATAATTTGCTGAGAAGAGCCCGTAACTAAACTCAGCTGTTGTATAAACTACTGACTTACGATTGGTGTACTAAGGTATGCAAGACGCATTTGCAGTGAACAGAACGTTGCTTTGGTTGCAATTTCCGAAAGGAATTATTTGGTTAGCTGTAGAATGAACAATGTGAATAATCCAAAGATGCTATGCCGTGAAGCAATCAAAAATACATATAATTAAATTCAGAAAATACTGCTAAGCCTAGACAGAAAACCAGATGTTACTTTGAGGAGATTAAAGTTTTTTTAAAGTTATTGTTGCAATGCCTGAAACAAAGAACTTACACATAAATTCAATCGCAGTTTTTCATGAAGTTGAGTATTTTCTACAGAGGAATAAGCCACAACGGTATTTACTTTTTTTCCTGTATTTCAAAAATATTAATTTATTATGCAGAAACCTTCATTTTCCAAAACTTTCGGTAGTGTGTCGCGGTGTACTTGCCCAGATGGAAAAAATATAGGTTTATCCAATTCTATAAAATGATGATTTGTGTGTAATGGGTGAAAGAAACTAGGTTATCTACAGATTACTTGAGGCAAAGTGCTTCAAAATAAAACTTGCGAGCTTCTCCGCATCACCAGAATCAGCTCCCTTTGGCGAAAATCCAGCTTTTTTAGCTATAAAACGATTTTATTAATATATATATATATATATATATATATATATATATATATATATATATATATAACTATGGGATCCATTACCTTGTAACTCAGTACTAGGACCAACAACGAAACAAAGGTCATTTTCATTGCCTATGATTTACCAGGTGTCATAATAAAAGTACACTGACCTGTTAGCCCAGCTTTAACACAAGCGATCACGGAACGTGGGCTACTAAAAATAATGCAACTATGATTGTTCCTCCAATTTTTGTATTCCGCTAGATTTGATATGTTATACTCAAAATCAAGAGTTTCCAGTAAGTCTACGCTGAAACCTGAGTTTCTTAATATCTGATTTTTAAAAATGGTGGACAAAGTAATCAAAAAGTCAACCTACTTGTACATAAGGATCATCACTGATGCTACTAGCATTATCACCAGCCGATTTAAGGAGAACTACGTACATTGATAGATCGAATACAAATTTTCTAGTAAAACAAAACAGAGGAAACAATCAGGCTAAGGTACTGAGTAGCTATTTAGACACTCTGAAAGATTATTAGAAACCATCACACAGACCTTTCTTTTCACCATCATACCAGAAAGTGAATTTTCTCACTATATATTTAACACATGATTAACAAGGGAAATTAATGTTTAATGGACATGCCTGTAGAACAATGTCAAGTGAATAATGCTTTTGAAATGCCAAAAAAGGTTGTAAAATCGTACAAAGTTATGTTACTCGATTATTGAAAGTACCCTCATGTTCTGTTTCCGAAAGGATTACTACTTTTTCATGATAAATATTTGGCCCGAAGAGTACCTACGTTAATTGTAAATCAATAAATAGGTTTCTTTTTGTGGTTTATCTCCAAGTTAGTAAAGATCCAGGGATAACAACCACAGAAAAGTGGAAACTGTGAATGATCTTCAAACTTAATGAGACTTTCTCCAGGAATGAAGATTTAGGATCATTGATCTAATTACACATTAACGAACCACACAAGCAGAACGTCAATGAATAGCAAACCATGAGCGTCAACTTACAATCATCTGAGTTAAAGTTTTACTGAATCACCGATCGTTTCTGAGTATAGAACTACTTTCTACACATAGTTTAGAGGGAAATAAAAACTAAAGAGTACTATATATAGTACTCTTTAGTTTTGTCTATAGGCAAAAAACCACTCTCCATAACTTTCTTACTCTTAGTCATCGACTTAATTAGGCTACACAACATGTTCTTACCTCCCTGATTTGAGGAAATTCAAGGTTTTTGTGCCACTTTCTCAAAATAGGGAGATTGATCTATCTGATCTCGAGATAAGTAGTTTGTAGTTGAGTTTCTATGTAATAACCCTTCGATTACTATTGAGACACTAAAATAAGGTTGACATTTTTCTGAAAATCAGCAATAAGAAATCTACATAGCACTTATGTAAGAACTAGCAATCCAAACTACGGAAACCTACAAAAGGCTGAAAACAATAAAATAGCCGGCACTCCAGTCCTATGTAAGAGGTATTAGCAACTGATGTACTAAAACAAATAAAAAATAATCTGACGTTTGTTTACTAATTTTGCACTTATCAGTTGCTCTTCTGAACGTTTGTCGGTTTCTACTAACGTTCTTAGTTTAGATTTATTGCAGAATTGAAAATAAGTAGCTTCCTAGATAGTTTCAATTTGGTCAAGACAATAGGTTTGTTGGCTCGTGTAAGTCCTCTGAGGTTGATCAGTTAGTTAATTTGCCTTTTTTGAATGGGTCAACAAATAGATCTTTAACTACATGTTGCGAAAAAAAGTAACATTCGTTGATGATTCGGTGGAACAGACGCTTATCTGCAGGCAATTAATTTTTTGGGTTTCTAAAATACTTTGGAAAGCAAGAAAAATCATGTGCACATTTTTCATTAGGATATTCAATTTTTATGCTGTTTTAGATTTAATAGTCATTTCTAGCCTATGTAAAAGGCTTTAATTCAAAACCTTATATATTCATTATACTTCGGGTCCAAACATATTTTTCCTTAAAATTTTCCATTAAGGCATCTAGAGGACATTAACATCCGATTCTTTCACATCTAAAACCTTTTTCAAAGGCTCGAAATAAAAAAATTATTATCCCATTTTCGTGCGATCCGTGAATAGCTGACTATTTGTCGTACAGCACAGTGCGGTATTGTACATTCGACAGATAAATATGAACCTTAATGAAGAGATCAGACTGAATAATCTAACTAATGAATATTCCAGCTTAGATCAATATATATGCTCACTATTACAAAATCTCCAGATAAAGTGCTTTCTGAAGTTGACAATTACTGTTTTGTGCGGAAAATAGATTATCATGAAAAAAGTTGAAAATCAAAACCTGTTCTAGAAACCGACCCTGTTTTTACTTAACATCTTAAAAACCCTCTGTAGAAATACGGAGAAATAATGCTACAAAGGCGGAGAAAACTGTGATTATCAAGGTCTATATAGTCGAGGTTCAACACTAATGTCTGTTCTGTTACCTGTTCTTGTTTCCGATATCTTACCGTTAAACACGGGGTGATCTAATACTGGTCTGTTGTGTACTGAACGATGACATTTCATAATATTTGTCTGGGGTCTGTGACAAGTAAGTAATCAGACGCATCTGTAGATCAATTTTTCTTATCAGAACTGGGTTACTATGCATAAATGGTGATCTGTTTCACCGTGCGCTTAGTTCCCCATCTATTACCGCTGTGCTACACCTGCTCATGTGAAGCCAGCAAAAAGATATTTCGATTCATACTTCATCAAGAAGAATTCAAGAATACTACGTGGCATTGTTGAAAAAATGCGAAAACGGATGAGCAAGAGGCTCGATAATTTCACAATCTCATGAACATGGGTCATTCTATCAAAGAGGAATCTTCATCCAAAGTCATCTACAAAGTGGATAACTGACAAAAGCAGTTATATTTCATCTCATTAATATTGCCGAAGTAGTGACTATACATCAGGGAAAACTATACTTGTGTGTCCAAAAGAAATTTGTACAACCACGCCTTCCACGGTCATAATTTCTTGTAATTTCCTTTTATTTTATTTCTTCACATGTCTCTTCGTTAATGCCATCCGCTTATCCGTCTATCTTTAATATAGACTTTCTATTACGTACTGGTTTATTTCTATTACGATGATCCTCTTGAATGCGTCGAGTTTCAGTTTTGACATTTTATCTCATCTTGCTGGTCCATTGATAACTGTTTGTAATTCCATTACTTATCTCCATGATGAATATTTAAGATATCAACAGTAAAAACATTATTAGTTTCCCTGACTGGAGAACATATATTTTCAACACCTTTATTTATTTTGTGTGGTGAGTTGAATTATTAGACTTATTATACAAACTAGGAATTTCAGAAATAGTGTAGTCTAGAGCAGAAAGAAGTAGAGGAAAAAAAACGATCGCATTGTATTTGAAATTCAAAATCAGGAAGTCATCAATTACAAAGGAATCATCAGTTCATTCAGACACCATATCCGTCACAGCTTAAATTGGAGTCCAAGTTTCTGTAATCAGTCGTGCGTCTTCTCCTTAAGTTCATCCTATATATATCCAGCAGTGTATCGGACATTGACTCTGTATTATCTGAAATGTACTCATTAGAATTAGAATAAATACCGGAAGTTGGAACAGACTCACCTGGTTCCTGGAATTGTACTTGATTAATATGTCGTTCGTATGTACTTAGATCATTAAACATCTAGAACTCGCACAACAGATTTCCAGACATTCTTCATCACAATCTTCGTGGTTAGTCGAAAATCATTTACACCATAATACGTAACTCCTGCACACTTCAAACACCTCATATTCGAACAAAGAATTCTTCCTTTTAAAAGCTTGATGGAGTCTCTTTCGTCACAGAATACTTAGCATTTCTATATTGCAGTAGAAATGTATCCAGTCCCACCTCCATTTGAAGCAGCCATAGAACCAATAGCTGCCTTGAAGCAGTAAACAGATGTCTGCACCCTATGTCACTTAACCAGGCAGTGACTGTTTCGTTCCTGTAGGTAACCCTCGTGCTATTGATGGAAGAAACTGCACTCACAACAAAGTGAAGGCCATTATCAGTCACTAACACCATGGGAACCCCTTCTCGACTAAACACCATTTTAATGCTTGTATTGTGAAGTCAGAACTTAGTGAAGTTATGAAAAACTTCAGACCACCTCGAAAAAGAATCAGTGACTACAAGTGCATGGTATTTGCCAAGAAATTGACTGCAGTAGTATGTAGAATTATGGTGTACTTCGTTATTAGTACTGCTCTAATTATGGGCCTAATCCTAAAATTTTAGTTTTGTCATGTAACTACCTAATCTATAAGATCCTATGTGGAAGTCACAACATTGTCTACACCGATTCGTCATATCGTGATCATTACCAATATATGGCTAAAAATCAAATTAAAACTGGGGATAGAACAATATATTTGTTGTGAATAAAAGAGATAAGTTATACAAGAATTACCACACCTGTAGCGCCGAGAGCGATTCGCTAAACATGAGTGTATTCGTGAAAGACATGCTCTAGACTCAGTGTTATTTATATTCAAATCTACTGGCTGATGGTGCATAAAAGTTAGTTGCAAGTATCGAGTTTCTCATAAGTTAAAAAACGATAAACAGTGAGTGCTACTCATGTGATTACCAAGGAGAGTTTTCTCCCAAGTCATATCCGTGATAATGGCTTGAACGTTAGTCAGTTTTGAGGTGAATTCGACAGTGTTTTCAGTTTGCAGGAGGTTTGATCGACTGCTTATACTGATGATTTGCATGCGTAATTGCGTCGCTAAAGCTCCAATTAAACTGACTAGGTTTCAGAATATTTAACGAGTGAGAAACTGATAGAGAAACACACTGAAAGATGAAGACAACGAGAAAACAACACTGTTTAGTGATAATTACAAGTATGCATGAATTCTCTATCAAGCTTCAGATGATACTAGCCGTGGAGTTCATTTCAAAGGCTGATTTCTCAAATCATGACATTTTCCAACATTGTTTGCTGTACTACATATATATGCATTTATCTCTGTCCACCAACATGTGAGCCTTTCCAAGGGCTTGATTTTCTCAACACTCAGATGTCCACTATGAAGATCTTGAAGAACAAATTTACACAATGAAGCAGGAATAACAATACGGTCATTTAAACACAAAATACCATCAGGAGTAGTAGAAAACTTATCCCGCTTTGAAAAGTAGACAGGAAATCTACGTTTCAGATCGGCATTTCAACTTTTCCGTATAGCATTGAGTATATATCCAAAGTATCTACGAGTTTCCAATAATATCTGAACGTCTCAATGGTGAAGGTTACCTGACAAACAATCTGAATTAATAACAGGTCTATCTTGTAATGATTGTCGAAAAATGTAGTCAACATGATGAATTAGTTTGGCATGCTTGTTCTTAACCGTAAAGTCATAGGCACTCAACGCGATACTCCATCGTTGAATCATAGCAGTCGAAAAATACGATAAGGATTTTTTAAGATGATATATAAACTTTGAAGCTTCATAATCAACAACAATAGTGAATCTCTTTCGAAATAAATATTTATGAAGTCTTCTAACAGTTTGTGAATAACCTTGTTCACTAACATTACGTTTGTGTAAAACACAAAAAACTGGTTTAACTTCGTGCTTCTAAACTGAGCTAATACTCACAAGTGATGCATCAGTAATATTTACATAACGTACACCGGATAAGTAAGTTCAAAGAACAAAATCACTCTGATGAAACTTTAGCAAACTTCGTAAGCATGACTTATTGTATCTCACCCCATTTAAATGAGTTGGATATCGAACTATTAGATAAACAATTGGCCCATCAAGAAAAACTAGGGATAAAACGGATATAGTATTGAAAGGCATCAACTAGTGAAAGTAGTACTGTAAGATTTTTTGGAGACGGTGAATTTGTCAGTGAAGCTAGTTGTAGAATCCAAACTAAGATTTAGACCGGAGAATAACTGTCCAGGGAGTTTAAATATACGCTATTGCCCCGTTGAAACCAAAACAAGGTAAGTGCGTGAATGACGATTCTAAACAAATATCACCACTCAGTTATTCAACGAAAAATCGTTCAATTAATCAAATCAATCGCAACAATTAAATGTTATTCTATCCTTTATGAATAGACGATGTGCAGATTCGTTCGAAAGATAATATTTGGTTGCTTTATAACACAGAGTGTTTCCAATTCTGGAAGAGCGCTTCAGTACACAATCAAAATTTCACAATTCCAGTCAATGCAAGCAATACAATCAAAGGACGAACAAAATCAATATGGCTACCGCCAAGACTAAATATCAACTAAAACTTCATAAATGCAGTTCAGAAAGAAACATGGAAACTCAGTAAAGACTTAAGAAAAAAACTATGACAAAATACAAATATTACCATCTCAAATGTAATCAGAGAGACTAACAAAATGTACAAATGAAGGAATCAATAGGAACAAAGCACAAGTTTATACATGGAATGATTTTCACACCATACACTGGTCACTTTATATCTGGTTTAAAATTATTATCATCAACTAGGCATCCAAGACACTCGAATTTCGATACAAAATGTGAACGCTTATTTGGATTCACCGCAGTATTCTTCCCAATTTAACGATGCAATAAAGCAATAATTCTCTGGTCATGAACTACCTTATCAGAACCATGAACAATGAGATCATTTTGAAAAACATCAGCACCTTCAAGATCACTGATTACGTTGTTCATAACTTTCTGAAATATTGCTGAAGAACGACTTAGACCAAATGTAAGGAAGTTGTGTTTGAACAGATCAAAAGGAGTGTTAATTGCCCTCAAAATAGATGAAAATTGATCTAAAGGGATTCGCAGATAAGCAGCTTTTAGGTCAATACTCGAGAACACTTTAGAACCATGAAGTCGATTTAGAATATCTTCAGCACCCACCGTCGTGCACGTTTGCTTCAAAAAACAGTTCAGTGTTAATCTATGATCACCACATATTCTAGGGGTCTTGTTATCCAACTTCAACGAAGGAAAAATAGGAGTACCTCATGTTGAAGATTTAATCGGCTCAATTATGCTTTTCGCACACAAGTTGTTCAATGTTTTATGTACTGAATCTCGAAGAATATAAAGAATCACTTATCTTTTGAGAAAGACTGGATTTCTCTGCACTAGGAATTTTATGGGCTGTATTTTCATACATCCACTGCACTTAGCACACATAGCTATAAAATCCTCAAGTAAAGCATCAGAAATTTCTATTGAACTAGTAAAGGCAACTCCACATTAAGACTATTCGAATTTTTTAAACCTAGTATTGACAGTCTTGTTTCGTTAACCGAAAATTCACAAGGTATGTATGAAGAATCAACATCTTTTATTAGAAATTCACAACAGAAGTTTTGCATACTAACTAAATGCATCCTATCTTACCACACTTAAGACATTTATCATTACGAGAATAGGATTCTCCACGGGATAAACATTTACCAAAATTGTCCTCACCTTTGTGATTTCTTGCTGAATCACCTTTCATATTTTCGCGAAGATAGGAATCACTATTCTACGGTTGCTTCATAGTTAATACATGCAGTTTGAGCATCTTAAAAGGAACAGTTTGGCATTCTTACCAACTCCCTTTACATACCTGATATGTTGATTCATAAATTAATCGATCTGTCAGAGGCATGTAGTGTGGCGTCAAGTCGCGGTTGACTATGATCACCACTACAGGAAGACTACGTGCCAGTTAACCGATAAGATTCCTCGCAGGCCAAATATCAGAAGGCAGTTGATGGCTGTAGTCCAGATGTATCTGTTGGCGATCTCGTGGTGTCAAAAGAACACCGAGATCGTTCCAGGTTACAAGTGTGGTTACTGGGCGTAACCGAATTCGTGCAAGGTCACAACCAACGGAGGAATGTATGTGTTCTGGTACAGTTAAACAAACAAGTACGGTAGAACAATCTCTGGTACAGTTGGCTATAATAATAATTGTTTCCATTACACCAATCGCGTTCTCTTTATAGAAGTAGGTCACTACAGGCACATGAAGTTGATCACAAAAATTGCATTCGGTAGCTTGTCTTTGCAATTCACGGATGAATAGCTTAGACTTTTGGTTATTCTGACGAATCATATAATGGAATTTCGCTTTCTCACAACATTCGAAACTGGTACGCTTTACCTGATTTAATAGTAGTTCCTAAGAGTTGCATAAGGAAATGAGATAGGCTTTTCTGGATATGTCAAAGTTTTTAATAAACTGTAGGCTTCTTTCTTCACATCTTTCTTGGTCATGCTCTAGATATCAAACCTCTCCAAATAATCTTTAACAGTTGAGTGAATGTCCAGCTGTTCCATGACAGGCTCCATTGCAACGCCAATGTGATAATTAAGAGTATTCGAATTATAGTACAAACTAGGAACACCAGAAATAACGCAATTATACCAAGAACTATATGAACATGGACGAATGTACTGTATTTGGAATTCTGAATCATTCAATCATCAAGTACAAAGGGATCATTGGTTCATACATACACCACATTTTACCTCACTGTTACCATGTTCAACAGAAACATATTGCAATTATTGTCATCCTGAAAAATGAGTATATATATCTGCGGTTGTGCAGCTGTAAAAATTAACTTGCCGAAAAGGGGACTCTTCGCTCAATTAATATTTATTTTGTGTGTCGATGGATATATCCCGTTTACTTCATTTTTTCCATCCATTCCACTTTCGTTTCACACTACTGCGCGTGGTCATTGTGTAGGTCTTTTTAAGTCTTTTTTTAAGTCGCCTGCACTACTCATGGTGTTTTAATTCTGATGAGTTTACGAGCATCTGTCAGTTCAGTAGATGCTACAGCAATCAACTGATGCTTTCTGGCCTTTTGGTTTAAGTTACTAAAAGTTAACACGACTGTCTTGGATGTCATACAAAACCACTTTGAAATTGATGTTACTCTCATGTTTGACCAAGTGCTTCTCCAGTAGTTTCTGAAATGGTATCCCGAATTTTTTATCACTTGGCTAAAGTGTAAAGGGTCATCTTAATGTTGCACTTTTGCTGATGCAGAAAAACATGTACTGGCACCAGAGCATGGTTGCAGTCTAAGCATATTCTCCGAAAATAGCGACAGTCTTGTGATGAGTCTCTTTAACCGCAACGAAATAGGAAACTTTCGGCATTAGGCTGAGGATTATTGATTCCATGATGCACACAACAACACTGTTCACACGAGCCAAAATGACAGAAACCACTTTGCATGGTGCCTTCGCAAAGATGATTGATAGCAATGTAGTCTCTCGAATCATTTGCTGAACCGATCGTGACAGTCAACATGTCTTCCTTACAGTTGACGCTCACTAGAAATAAACGTTAATTTCAGAACAGTCGAAGTCTTTATAAACTGTTCCTTGAGCCTCTAAACTGTAAATCCCAACCAATTTTCCAGCATGGTTTGGACTTGTTATGGCATTGGACCCTAGCCACACAACATTTGAAGCAGAGCATATAATTACTGAAGACATATTAAGCAAGCGGCACGAAGAGAAGGTTAACTATGTAGAGCGGGAACACTAATTCAATCCATCGGATGGCATGGCTCAGCGTTGCAGTCGTGGTCATTTCTGTTATTATTTATTTTAACACATAGATATTGGTACAAGGAAGCACCCAATACATATGCGCCACACAAATCTCACTTGGTTTGTGTGAGGGCTGTGATACTGCTCGGGTGCCCAAACTGGAGCAGGTGATTTTCTTAGGGGGCCACTCCCCGAGCCTTCGACCTGAGGGTCTGATCCACAAGGCAGTGAAGCGTCGTCAGATGGTAGCCGGTGACCAACAATCGGTTCATACACCATTTGTTCCTGCAGGATACTGGAGCCCATCTGCACCATTGGTTTGGGATCCGGTTAAAGCGCCGGACATTTGCTTTTCGTCCTCTCAATTTTGTAATCAACACCCCCACCACGAGAAGGCAGTGAGTAGGACTTCCCTGGCAGAGGCTATATACGCGTGGCCGTGTGAGAGCATTTCGAGAGGGAGAGCGGACTCCCCCCACTCTCGGCCATACCAGGGCATTTGGGGGCTCGTACCTGTGCAACTTATCTTTTTTTATTCATAACAAACTCGGTTAGCCAAATGTGGTAGAGCATGGTGACAAAGTTAAATGAAAATGGCTAATCGTGGAGACAGCAGTAATATTACGAAGGATTCGATCTTGAACAAGATAACATTGGGTAGGTGGTTGAGAATCCGCATCTGCCCACATCAGTGAAAAGTATGTCTTCTTTAGGAACCTGAAGAAACTATATTAGATAGTGGCATCAATACCTGGTAGCGTGATTGCAAAGCCCAGAAGGCAGAAGCCTGAGACGTACGATCTATTTGTGGGACGCCATCACGAGCGGCAGTAATAGTCCGGAAAAATAACAAAATGTCAGCTCATTGAAATCTACATATGGATCGCATTGTGATATATTTTTTCTCAGAATCTAAAGGATGAAACCGCCGGTTAGCAGTGGAGGAAGTGGTGGCTAAAGTATTGTGCTTCAAAACCAAAGGGAATGTTTGATTTCATCTGAAAATTCAGAAGAGAGTTTATATATATATATATATATATATATATATATATATATATATATATATATATATATATATATATATATATATATACGAACACTATGAGTGTTAATATTATAATATAATACATATGCATAAAATGTCGTCTAAAAAATAAACAAAGCTCCCCTCCCACCCCACAATAATCTTCTTATAGAAAATAATTGGCGTAGGGAAATAGACAAATTTATTTTGGTAAGAATAGTAAACCAAAGATGAAATAATATTTATAAACTATGTGCTATAAATAGTAAAAGCATTTTGGAAGAACAAACAAGTTGCTGATAAATCAGCTTACAGAAAACAGAGAGCAGAAAGTGACTAATAAAGAAATAATGATGATAATAACACAAAGAAACCTATAATATTTTATCTATACAGCATAGTAAATTTATGTCGAAACTAACGTTTAATAAGTTGAATATTCTTACGAGATGTGTTCATTCGACCAAATGGTCCAGGTTCATGATGATATAAATGTACTTGTTGATTTAAACAATCACTTATTGCTTTTCTACAATGCGATTTTCAAATGAAAAGAAACAAACAAATACATAATTGAGAACGGAACACTAAGTAAATTTTGTGATAGAAAAACTATCCAACTATACCAAAATGAAATACGTACGAAAAACTTGAAGCCTGAAGGTCAGCAAATAAAAATCAAACGTATAACTTCTTAGTCACAACTATGATGAATGGAACAAGAATAGATTGATGAGTTGAATGGATTTATATCCAATGTAATGTAACATACGGAATTTAAAATGGTTTATAAATGAAACTAAAGGACGAAATCACAGTTGTATACGAATTTTAAAGTAACATAACTGGCCGGAATACAGTGATACAGAGAAACAAGGAATTTTTTCGAAAGACATCTATGCAAAACTGCATTGGAACTAAATTCACAGAAATTTTTCTGTGAATTTCAACTATATATTTAAACCGATTTCTTCTCCTCTAATTCAAAACTCCCTCTTTCTCTTCATTAGTTTGAATATGTCACTATTGGTCTTTTTGTTTAAAAAGAAATTTTCGACCTGTCATTTTTCAAATGGATTGCTTTAAAACCATCGTTGTTGAGTTTAACATTGTGAATGCGAGTTTAACTAAAGCTAAACATTATTTATTGTTGAGCCATTTGTCATTCATATTTTTCCACACACAAATATTTCCGAGAAGCCTTTTGACTTTAACCGATGTTGAGTCCGTTATCCTGGTGAATTTAATATATATTCTACTTTATTGATGATAATTTCCGTCTTATACAGCAAAATTAATTACTTTAACATATTAAAATCAGCTAAAAATGGTATTGAAATCAAACTTCCCTATTTAGATACGTGATACCTACAATTAAGACCGATACTTCCAGAAGTATTGAATAGAATTATCATCCTGTTAGATCAAACATTACTGTATGGTCATTAGTTTAATCAAAATAAAATATATTTTATAAGTTACCTGAAATCATTTGTCCAAAGAGAATTTTTAACATAAGCACCAACATGACCAGATTGTGGCAAATAACGAATTTCACCATTAGGATATACTTTTTTCAGTGAACAAACACTACCTCTTGGAACATATGCATCATATTCAGCTGCAACAGATAGAACAAGTCGAGAATCTATTACTGGAGAAAAATTTCCTAAATGAGTAAAATAGTCTAGAAGATCACGTAGAAACTGTCGAACTTCCGGATCTGGTGATAAATCTGTACGCGGAAAACTAACACTTGGTAAAGAAACACGTGGAAGTAATGAAATTTCTTTATGCCATCGATAACTATTCCACTGATAACGAAAAACTGTATTGAAATTAAATGTAGATAAAGAATTCGGAAGACCAGTGTATCTGAAATGTGAAAGCAGTAACTAAATATTTTAGCTAATTAAAATTTCACAATGTGGACAAGTAGTAAAAACGCATGTAAAACATTATGGAGATACATTGGATGACGAGCAATTGGTTGTTTAATATACTTCAGAACCTTTTACACAAAATTAAACAAACTTAAATTTCCACAAATCTTAATAAAGGAAAGAGATCTGATAAACCAAGTATCATAACAATGTAACTTTCAGAGAAGATAGAGGACGAAAAGCCATAGAGAAACTTGCGAATTCATTGAATACCAATGTTAATTTATAGTTTGCAAGTGAACATTATTAACAACGTCAAGAATATATCTCACAAAAGCTACCATTTATATTGGCATTGAGATTACTTTGGTTTTCTTAATTTAATTTAATTTTTGATGTCCTAAGGTGAAATGTGGGAACTTGAACTGATACGTACTTTTACTAAAGTCTATGTCGTTTATAAGTGATAAACTGACTTACAATCGATAAGTAGTCAAGTGATTTTGTTGGGCAAGCAAGTAAGGATTCTTGGCCAACAAGTAACCAAAATATTGAATATATAAATGAAAATCATCCGAGAATTTTCCCGAAAACAATTACATGTATATTGGCAAAAATAAGCTGGAAATATTATTCACCGGTAGGAAACCTATATTTTTAAAACCACAATTCAACAGAGGTGTGGCTGGTGATGTCCTACATAATAGATTAACAAGAGTAGTTAATAGGACATTCTATACAGACAACCCTGGATTGAAATCTCCTAGTAGATCAGTGATATCTACTCACCCTTATGATTACTACTACTACGCCTGTCTTCTTACTATCAATTTGTACTTTTTACCTATTATGCAATCTATTTCACTGTGATCATTGACTCATTAATTGTTTTGATTGGTTAGTATTTTCATATACTCACATAAATACTGATCTTAAATACAGTAAAACCTGATGACGATCTAATCTAAAACAATACTGTTCGTATATATTGTGACGTGGGCTACTGACGTCGATAGACATAAGTAGTATGTAGCACACATCGAAAGTGAAATGCATGGCGGCATAAAATTGAATAGAAGAGAACGAGAACAGAAAGTGATTGGTGTAGAAACGAAGGAACAATCAATTCTGATGCAATTGGTTGACATTTTGCAAATGAAGTATTTACTGTATGGTTCTCAGATTTTACTAAAAGATTTTGTAAGACTTTATTGAAATACATTTGGTTGTCTCCACTTGTGTTTTCGTTCACTACAATATGAGTTGTTCAAATCAAAATAAACTAAAATTTCACATCAACTTACATAAAGTTGGGAAGAAACTTCTGAGCAATAGTAAATTTGTGTGTATTAGAATGGGATGACGATAACTGGGAGGTTGAATTAGATATATTAATAAACTGAGACAATAGATCACGAACTTGAAAACTTGAGTATAATGATTTTAAAGGATTACTTTTAATAGGATGTAAACGTGAATCCAATTGTTTTGAGAATGTAGCCAAAGGAGCAACATTTACAGGATTTGAGTGCTTTGAATGTAAAGAGTTTATTGAAATGGTTGAATATTGAAGATTTTCACCTGTAAAAGCATGAAAAGTAATACTTAGAAGACATAGGGAAAGTTTAAAACACATAACTTTACATAACAACAATAAATACTAAAACTTTTATGTTTATTCCAGAGACTACTTATGAGTTTAACTATAGATCAAAGGTGAACTACACAGCTTTAAATCTTAAAAGCGTCAATCCAATAGAGTAAAGTGAAACAAACTCTCAAAAAGGAAAAGTACATAAATAAATTATGAATGAAGTCTGAAAACGTTTGTAATTATGATGAAGAAAAGGGTCAGTGGTTTTCAACCTTAAACATATATGAAACTCATCACTTGATAAGATAGTTGTTAATCTTGCCACTGAATTATTACACTGAATACTCGAACCACTCAAAACTTGAAATGGATTATTGTTCTAAATGGGGGTCAAATAATTCTAACGAAGAAAGGACAAAGTTACACGGACTAACTAACAGACGTTAACAAAAATGAAGCTTTCGTATTCATTATTGATTAAATGCTATTGCTTAAATAGTGTAATGTAATCATTCAACTCATTAATCGATACAACGGAATATATGACATTATTTAGGTCAATATTCCTTTGTGGTAAATTCATTATGAATTTCGGCTGGGCTAACAGGTACGAACTTCACCCAGTAACATTTAAGAGTTAGTATTGCTTGTATCGATTCTGTATGAACTTCAATATGACAAATGAGAACTCACGTTCAGTGTAACAATTATGTTCCATGTAAAAATCCAGTAGAACTATGTTTAATGTATTTTTTTTTACAGTAACATCATATTCCCACCACCTAAGTGAGATTATAAAATGTGTGTGAAAATTAGTAGGTAAATGATTGCATTTTGGTCTAATGATGACATAATTTTGGACGTGATTTGTTAAACCAGTTTTTCATGTCCTAATATTGCATTGTATTGTATGTAATGAATTTCGTTTCTACATACAAGCAGTAGGATCGTACAGTTACAGTAGTTTTCGATTGTCAAGCGTAAGACTGTAGGTTCAGGGGAGTCAACAAGTACATAACAGCAACGACACCCTCACACGCAAAAAAGGCGGTTGTCAGATGGAACAGTAGCGACTGATTAGTATACAACATGAGTACGACCAAATTGAGCTAAAGATTTGAAGAGTATTGTATAACATTAAGAAAATCCGTCAATAAAATGCACATGCTATCGTAAAGGAAGTCATGGTCTATTTGAAATTTGAACCAAGATTGTCTAGATGCAACAGATAGTCAGTCAGTCAGTAACAACGTAGAACTTAGTACGTACGTACATCAGTTCGAGTTGCCATACCACATTAGCACAGAGATGCAGTGGTCGATTCAAATCCCGTAGTGGTAGAGGTAGCAAGATTATAAGCAGTAATCGGGAAGATTAGGGTTTGGAGATGTTATTTAACGAGTATAATCCAGTGAAATAAATTTGGAAAGAGGAAAAAAGGGACATGAAGAATTCAGAAGATTAGAATTTGGGAGAACATAGAGAGTGGATGCACCTGCGCCATTGCAAACGATTTTGAGCCATGTCATTCAGGGTCTCTAACCATCGGTTGCTATCATCTCGCGGTCCCCAACCAGGTAGTCTACACCTACCAACATGACTCAGTCCACTTGTCAGTGACTTCATGGATTTGTGCCATGTTTTGGTTTGGCCGCCCCTAGCTTTCTTCCAACCTACTCCTATACCACTGAATATAGCACGTCGAGGTAGTCGGTGGTTGGGCATACGTAACACGTGTCCCAGCCATCTCAACTGATGAAGTTTCACTACTTCATCAATTGATTTGCCATCCTTACCTAGTACCCGTTTCCTAACAGCTGCGTTACTTACTCGGTGGTCCCAGGATATACGAGCAATACTTCGAAGACACCTATGATCAAATACTAGTAACCTACGAATATCCTCTACTCTTACCGGACATGTTTCACTGCCATAAAGCAGGACGGAACGAACTGCTGCGCAGTAAACACGTCCTTTGGTTGATAGACGGATATCTCGCCTACGCCATAAATGACGCAAGTTGGCAAAAGCTAGTCGAGCCTTCTGTATCCGTGCTGAGATTTCGTCACACACCAAACCACAAGGGCTGATGAGACTTCCAAGATAAGTGAAGCGGTCGACACACTCAACTACTTCACTCCCTATCACTAGTTCAGGTGTCGATGTAACCCAATCCTGAAGCAACATTTTGCATTTCGAGTGGGAGAATCACATCCCGAACATGCTTGCATTGTTGCTTAGAGTGGTCAGAAGACTCTGCATTTTGTCAGCGTCTTCACCAAATAAAACTATGTCATCAGCATATTCTAAGTCAACAAGTGAACCTCCCGGTAGAAGTTCAACCCCTGGAAATCTAGACGAGGAAAATATTATCTCTAAAAGTACGTCGACCACAAAGTTGAACAAGAATGGAGAGAGTGGACAGCCCTGACGAACACCACTTGAGGTAATCAATTCTGATCACAGTTCGCCATAAGCTCTCACTCGACCAGTTGTGTTCGAGTAGAGAGCCTGAATAAGGTTAATGTACTTCTTTGGTACTCCTTTCAGTGACAAACACTGCCATAGAACCTTACGATCAACAGAGTCAAATGCCGCCTTAAGGTCGAGAAATACTACTATTGTGGAGCGTCTGAACGTGTGTCTGTGTTCTAGAACCTGACGTAGTGTGAATATCTGATCTATACAACCACGACCAGATCGAAAACCGGCCTGGTTTTCTCTAATCTGCTCTTCACGAGCTTTGATTAGGCGTCGAATTATTATTGAAGCTAATATTTTAGACACTATATTAGTCAAACTGATTCCTCTGTGATTGTCACAAGAGGACTTTTGTCCTTTCTTATAAACTGGTACAATCAGTGATTGAGACCAGTCAGATGGGATTACGTCCAGTTCCCAAATTCTACCTAAGACCTCGGTTAGTCTCATTTCTAATACTGGACCACCATCCTTAAAAATATCAGGAGTAAACCTGTCAGGGCCTGCTGCTCTCCCTCGTTTCAGATTTCCTATGGCTTTTTCAACTTCATAAAGAGACGGAGGACCTACATTAACTTGCCATTCAGGTTGACTGGATATCGTGGGAAACCGAAGTGTGGCTGAAGGCCAGTTGAACTGATCCCTAAAGTGTTCTGCCCATCGATCCAATCTCCTGGATTGAGAATGAATAATATGTCAATCTTTCTCTGCGATTGTTTCGCTAACAGTCGGGTTCCTAATTCCGGTTTCCTTAACGAGTCTAAACAATTGTCTGCTATTACCTATTGCCGTTGCCTTTTCCATCTCTCTTGCTTTCGCTACCCACCACTGTTCGCGATCATTGCGTAGACTTCTTGTCAGTTTGCGCTTAAGCTGACTCCGCTCTTCACTATGTTCAGAGCCAGGTGGAATGAGTTTCCGAGCATCTATCAGTGCGATAGATGCTGCTGAGATCCAGTGTTGCTCCCTAACCTTGTGGTTTACCTTACTAACAGATATCACTGCTGTTTCCACAGCTTTTCGGATATCATTCCATGCTGCCTCGGGGTGGGCATCACATACATGGCTGCCTAACTGTTTTCCTAGTTGTTCCTGAAATATACTCTTAGCTTGACTATCATTAAGTAGGCCCCTAAGAGGTTTCCTTGCAGCGTCTTTCCTACATCCAGTAAGACGCAGACAGATACGCGCTCGTACTAGAGCATGATCTGAATCTAAGCATGTGCTCCAAAATGAGCGACAGTCTTCTATCGAGCCCCTCCATCGGTGGCTGATAGCGATGTGATCTATTTGGGTCCAACGTTGGGACGAATTAGGGGGTCTCCATGTTAAAAGATGTTTTTTCTTATGCTTAAAGTTAGTATTTACAAGGAACAGGCGGTTATCTGAGCATAGCTGCAACAGACGGTCGCCATTATCTGTTCTTTGAGCCACGATACTATAAGATCCACCCAGGTTTCTTTCCCTATCGCTTAGTTTACCTACTTGAGCATTAAAGTCACCGGCCATTATTACTACATCCGAGCGCTTAGCTTTTCGGAGGAGGTCGGAGAGCTTTCTGTAAAACTCATCTTTTACATCATCTGAGCTGCAGTCAGTGGGAGAATAGGCAGAAACGACGAAGAGGCAACGACGAGTGTCCCTATCTTTCCGGATTCTTACTGTTCCGTTCAGTCGGACAGCGCACAAACGACTGTCTACTGGGATCCACTCTAAGAGAGCTAGTTCTGCTCTAGGACTCAATGCTATACCTACGCCGGCGAGGCCACGGGAAGCAGAATCAGGGCTTCCAGATACACGAAGCGTAAATCGAGTCGGTTCTTTATTTTGGCATGGTGAGGTCAAATGAATGATGCTACTTGGATCCTGTATGCGCGTTTCGGAGACGCAACACACATCGATGGCGTAAGATTCTAAAGTCCTAGCTAAGGAAGCCTGTTGTCCTATTTGGCACAGTGTTCGTACGTTAAAAGCTCCTACGTGTAGTTTAGAGCGTGGTTTCAGGAGACCAGGAATAGCGTTCCACGTACTCGAATCGTTTGCCCTAGCGGTGCGAGGTGATAAAGAGACGTAAGGCGGGTTAGTCATGGAGATAAGAGAGGTATTAGAAGGTGTAGGAAGGATTTGAATGTGACCAACTTGGTCTCGTGTGCTGTTACGGATATGAGGGCTGATATCACTTCCCGGTTGCCCACACCGTGGAAGGGTATTTCTTGAGGAACCTGAAAAGGAAATTGGATTAGTGTTGGTCTTAACGACCTGGGAGCGTGACCGCAGAGCCCAAGGGACAACTGCTTGAGGCCGGTCGCGCACGGCCTTTTTGTAGAAGGTTTTTAATGTGTTAGCTCCGTTCTTCAAAGAGCCTTATTGCCGGAGACGGAAATCCGTGAGGTAAGGTGAGGTGTGACATTTTTAGGGTCGACCTTTTCTAACCCCACCCCTCCTTGTGGGAAGGCAGCATCGCTGTCATGCTGATTGTCCGAAGGAAACACCTTACTGCTGTCACACCTCTGTACAGTCAGCAGTACGACTTCGCCCTCAGACTTTGAGTTGTTGCTTTTAGTCTTATCGTTCACCAATCGACCTGCCTGGCATGGTAGAACCTACAGGAACATATGTTCCAGCCAATATAGCTCGGTTGGGTCATCACGATAGGTAAGCCCGACCACCGCGTCAAGGTAGCAGCATCGGTCGGGATGCAACAGATAACATTTAACTAAACAACTGATTAGTTAATTCTTTAACTACAGAAGTGAATAATTAATTATTAGAATTTCAGAACTGAAACTTTGTTCAGAGTAATAGACGCAATTTAGTGGTAGCCATTAATGACTATGAAGTATATCACTAGAGATTCTTAACGAAAATCACTCCAAGATATTTGGATAAAGCTAATCGATATAGTTCATACAATGATACATTTTCTCATTTGTGTTTTAATTCTACAGTACTTCTTTTATCATTGTTATTAAGAATGATAATGTGCATTATTACCTTAGAACCGTATAAATAATTCAACGTGTTTAAAAAGATATCATGTTCTAATTTGACGATTTTAAGCATATTTTCATTCATTATAAACTAACTGTCACATATCAAACTGGTCAATACCCTAAAATCGGTAGATAATAACATTTCAAACAGCTTAGCTAATATAATTTTACAATTTAAGCGTAATAAACAGAAATTCCGAGATTCATAATCAAATAGTATTTAGGTTTAGGTATAATATACAATTAGATGACAATATTACAAACTGAAAATGAAACAACTTCTTTTTACCCAAATTATCATTAAAAGTTTCATCAGTTGTTTTATAGAATTCTGGAATAGGTGGTTGAATTCGAGGTCGGATTACATCAGAATATACAGAATCAGAATAATATTGTTTTGTTAACACAGGCCAATCTACTGTATTCGATAAAATACCCTATCAAAATAGAAAAGATAAAGAAAGATATTGAAACATATCAATAAATGAACAATAGGTGTTATTTCCATATATGAAGAAGTGAACTCAATAAAAGACATCGTTATCCAATTCGCTGTCAATTCTAATCAATAATAAAATAAATATTTTAGTATTGAATGGCTACAAACAATTGTCTACTATATATAATGATGCCAAACTTTCGCGTTCAATGTTTCATTTTCGCTGGCCGACTTATTTCCACTGCATTTATTAAAGTAATGACAAAATACAGTTGACTAACTATTCAGTGGCAAACAGTGTTATAAGCTTTAAATCTTCCCTAATGCTCGCTGAGTTTTACTGATCAAGTTTCAATGTTACGACTAATCTAAGTGACTCAATATTGCGTGCAGCATTAGATGTAAATAACACGAAAACTAGGTCCAGGGATTCCCTGTCAACTTCCATCAATCACCACTTTACAGTGACCAATTACATTGAAACATTGTGCTTTTTGTTACATTAAAAGATAAAGTGAATGAAAGTTTTTAAAAAAATCATATATTACTTAGTTTACCCGTTTTTCTTGATATAAAAAGTATTTCATGTAATAAATAGTATACAATTATACATAATAGTAAGTTTAAAAACCTTATTGTTATAAAGATAAATTGAAGTTGATAATAGTAATTTTATAGTGCAGAATTATGTTGCACGTGAGACTTGTTGTGACACTACGGGTAACAAATAATTCAACATAATATACACTAAACGATTAGGTGTATTGATTAAACGATAAAATATAAGAGATTAGCTGACTATGAAACAACGTACTTATTTCTGAAGCTTTGTGAAATCTTCTTTCAATATAATGACTATTATTATGCTTTCTTGACATGATCAATAGACTTAAATTGTAACTGGGTTTTACAAAGTATTCTGATTCGCTCTAACTAACATTTGAGGACAAGATGAATACAAAAAAATAAATTAGAATAGATGGTTTCTCCAGTAAATAAGAAGCACAGACACTATATTAATTTGAAAAGTTGTATCAATTTCAGTACGTTGGTTATTAGTGAAATGTTGTCAATAAGTAAGAGAAGTATCTTTGAGATTTATCAACTTACATTAGTTGTACAAAATATCTACAACGATAACTAACACAATAATAGAACTTCTCTTTTTCTTAAACAGATGTTCAGGTGTAGTAAAGGTCGTTAGGAAATTACATATACAAAGAGAATAAGTATCTTTTACATATTCAATCGCGCATTTTTTAAATCATAAGATAAACATTTGTTGGGGTTAAATGTGATGTAATAGCTAAGAGAGAAGTTTTTTTAATTTATGATGCAGAAATGTGCTAACTAGATAGTTCATAAATCTGCTAAGCATAAAGAAACAATATTTACCCCGCATGTATTATTGTAGTAGGTGAGTAAATCAGGTTAAGGGAAATAAGTGACTGAAAACGACATGTCAAAATTTAAAAGAAAAATCAAAGTTATCGATGCCAATCTTTTGACTTGGCAGCTTGCTGGAGCAAAGAATTAAATATTAGACTAAACTAGTCCTGAAAACAAATATCAAGCATTTTGGCACATTTTCTGCTTGTAAATTGCTAAGTAATGAATCGAACTGACGTTTCATTGTACATTTATACATACCGTTTTAATTAATAATGGATAGCACTGTTTATTTTAGCGCGAGTCTATAAAGAATAAACATAAAGAAAAGCTACTTTTGAATGGAATCAAGAATTTCCCAAAGTATGTTGAAAGCGAATAGAAGTCAATGCTAACAAATAGCATAAAATTCATATCATTTTCAAATATTAACTGTGTTTTCAAAGAAAGTCAATAGTTCTAAAACATCTTAAAAACTTTTGTATTATATGAGAAAAAGTCTGTAAGTCCACTGTGGTTTGTAGAAACTAAATTTAGATAATTGTGTTGTGACTACTGAGGGAGCTGAAAGTTTATGACTAGCTACGTAGCCCTCTTCTTTTTTCACTTTTTTACACTTTAAACATTAATTTAATGCGAACTGACAAATGCAGCAAACTCCTAGGTTATTATGACAATAGCCGTGCTTCCTACGTCTCAATAAATTACAACATACAGTTATAGAAGTTAAACCAGGCTGCTTTGAGTTTGAATATATGATCGTGATTTCGACACTTGGACAACTAAGTTCAAACATAAAACAAATTTAGTGAGAATATTATGACAGAAAATTTTACAAAACGAACCTCTAAAAACACGCATGATGCTGAAGTCCAAGACAAGCAAGGAATTAGAGAGATAGGTTTCGGCCAAACGGTTGCACACAGGGATGACATCTGGTAAATTAAAGCATATAAATATACAAGTTTTAAATGTATGCACCAAACTAAGGTGTACAGAGAAAGCACAACTAAAAATATATTATTAATCTGTATACCTCATAGATACAATCCTCATTTTAAAAATATTTAAAGTGGAAAGCATAAAATCAATTGTCATAATAACAAAAAATAGTAGTTTAGCTTAACAACCCTTCCTCAAGTACACCATATAGACAATTTGTAAATATTGTTCACCAAGAGCTAAATTTAGCTGAGTATTTCACCTCAAGAACAACAGAAAAATTCAACAAACTTATGCTTTAGCAAGTGACGGTGCAGACTTTAAGTGCCTTTTGTGCGAAAACCAGTGACTTTAAGTGGCCGCACATGGATATGTTAACTAAACTGATGAAAATTGAGGTGATCTTCACTTTTCAAATTCTGTCACTTGAGATTTATTGTATGCAATTTTAAAGAAACTTAAAGTTATTCAGCGTTGCTAAAATTTAGTTTCAGACTGGGAGAGTCAGCATTTATATTTCTGCATAACATAATGCAGTGCTTGACCTACATTTCTTTAACCATATTAATTTTAATCAGCTTTAGTTTTAATTCTAGGTAGGGTGGGGAGTAAGGATAAAAATTAGTAAAACAGATACTATTAATTAATACCAATTTTATGTAGTATTAACAAACAGATACGAAGATTTATTTCACTCTTCAAACTTTTAAGTCACCACGTATCACATTTACGGAGTATGCCAGTACATTAAAAATGATAAAATAATGTTTTGGAGCTTTCTAGACGCTACTTACTTCCTTCCTGGATATTTAGAGATCGGTAAATTAGACTTCTGTAAAACAAATCATCATTTACAAGCTATTTACTTCAGGCGGTTTAGTGTTAGACGCATTTAACTTTCAGCCAATCAGGTGTAAGTTCGAAACCTCTGTTATTTACTATGGCTTATGTAGTTAGTTTTAAAGCAAGACTCAAAACTAACGTGTATTCGTCTATGTTATCAAATCTTAAATTACAACGGGGAAAAGTAAACACTAAAAAAGCCACAACATCAGTTCCAACACATAAATATTGGTACAAAAGGGCACTAAATATATATGCGCCACACCATATATTGTGTGTGGGCTGTAATACTGCCCGGGTGCCCAGACCGAGGCAGGTGGTTTCCTCAGGGGGCCACACTCCGAGCCTTTGACCTGAAGGTCTGATCCACAAGGCAGTGGAGCATCGTGAGGAGATGCATTCCCATGGAAGCCGGTGACCAATGATTGGTTCATACACCATTTGTTCCCGCAGGATACTGGAGCCCATGTGCACCATTGGTTTGGGATCCGGTTAAAGCGCCGGACATTCGCTTTTCGTCCTCTCATTTTTGTAAAAAAACACCCCCGCCACGAGAAGGCAATGAGTAGGACTTCCCTGGCAGAGACTGCATACGCGTGGCCGTGTGAGAGCGTTTCGAGAGGGAGGGCGGGCCCACCCCACTCTCGGCCATACCAGAGCATTTGGGGGCCACAACGTTAGTACCGGCCAATGGGAAACAAATTATGCATAAAGAATATAGTCTGAAGAGAATCAAAACTGAGGAATATAATCTATGCGATGACCATAAAATTCAAAATTTACAGGGTGATAAACAATAAATATATCCACATCATTGCAATTTATTTGGAACCATGTTACCTGAAGTCAGTAAGCACGAATATGAAGCTGCAGTTGATTTTTAGCGTTATAAATGAATTCACTGTACAGAGCTAATACATGTATCCAGTTATTTTATTCGTAAAGGAAAATTACGACTACATGCCGAAAGCCTATTGTCATTTCGTTCTAGAAATCATTTAAGATGATTTCACTTAGATGTCGTCCCGACCAAATTGCTTGGGTACCCTAGATTAGTAACTCTCATATGTAAAGAAATCAATTACTGAGAAGTCAATATCATTAAAGATTATTCTTAAAAGGGATTATCAAAACCGCCATTAAATAAACTAAACTGATAGTAACCAGCTGGTTAATATGATATTTTTGTACATTGACCGTAATTTTAAACAAGTTATAAGATGAAAAATGGTATAATAAATGGATAAAATGACTGATTTCGAAAGGTCAAAAAGCATCTATTCCAGTTTCGCCTTCGTATTGAATAAACTTTGGGTCATTCACATTGTACCTTTAATTACTTGATCTTGTAAATGAAAATTAGTAGTGTTTATATCAAATGGGACCGAATAAGAATGTGAAACAAAACAATTCTAAATGGAACCACTTTCCTTGACGGATTAGTAAGAACACTACCAATAGAATGTGCCAAAAAGATAAAATAATAGTAAATACTCTACAAACTATGAAGTATTTTATTACACAGCTAGATTGCTTTAACTGATCATATGATTCGTATAGTTAGTAAATAGTTACGTAAATCTCAATAAGACAGAATTGGGCTATTTCTTGTTTACTTTTGTTATAATTCTCTCTTACGGTTATCAGTCAGTCAGTCAGCCAGTAACAACGTAGAACTTCGTACGTACGTACATAAGTTCGAGTTGCCACACCGCATTAGCACAGAGGTGTAGTGGTCGATTCAAATCCCGTAGTGCTAGTTGTAGTAAAATTATAAGCTGTAATCAGAAAAATTAGGGTTTGAAGATGTTATTCAAGGAGTATAATCCAGTGAAATAAATTTGGAAAGAGAAAAAAGGGACATGAGTAATTCAGAAGATTCGAATTTGGGAGAACACAAAGAGTGTATGCACCTGCGCCATTGCAAAAGATTTTGAACCATGTCATTTAGGGTCTCTAACCATCGGTTGCTATCATCTCACGGTCCCCAACCAGGTAGTCTACACCAATTCACTCGACAAGCCCCCAAATCAGAACACGGTTGAACAGGAAAGAGATTATATCCCAAATAACAAGCTTAGATGAAAGTAAGAAGCACAATAGGAAAAACGTTAGTATATTTATAGTTTTTTACATGAGAAGATACTAGTATTCTCCAAGTATCGACTATTGCTGATTAGATAAGAATCAGCCAATCAGTATGCGCCAACGTAAGCGTGCATTGAACATGACTTAATCTAATCTATGTCCCGCTAACAACTGAATCTATTTTGAACCCCATATCTAACTACTAGGTGGTGTACTATTGAACTACGAAGAACGTTTTGTACTCGTAGGTATAGATTTTTGGAAATAGGCTTGGTAGGATCATTAGAAGCTTGTCTTTCTGTTTTGATATGTGCACTTGGAAGTGACGTGAAGCGAGTATTTGTCTACCTTTGCGTTATTTAGCATCGGGCTATGTACAGTGGAATCAATTATACTGCAAATTATGTAGTTTTAGAGGCTGACATTTTTATTTTTATTTGGCTATCTATGGGCATCAATTGAATAAAGAAATGTTTCTTTTCTCAATCAGAGGATTTAATAATTTAATTGAATAATAAAACGTCTTGTGAATACTTTCCAACAGTTGACTCCATGGAATGATATATGCCTTCTGACATTCGAATAAATAATTGGGTTAGTGTGGATAGGTCAAGAAAGAGGGTGACAACTGTTTAAAGTCTGTCACAGACGACCCATTAGTAATAACGGTTTAGTAACACTTGTTCTAAACATTTTTAGTTTGGCTGCGGTAGATAGGGTAAGAAGTGAGAACTATTTTTGGAAGTACATTGTGATACTCCAGCCAGTCATTGTAAAAAGCCAGTTTTCACTAGCAATAGATAGAGAACTCCAAAAGGGACAGTTAACTACTAGCTCAAATTAATAAAACATGAGTGCTTACATAGGAACCAAAAAGTCATTTGCCCATTTATTGCAAAATTATTTCAAGGATCCTACTTGAATAATAGTCTTTACATTCAAATCTTTGAATAATAAAACAATCAGGAACTTTTTAATTAGATCAAAAACGTCAATTATTTATAATAATAATCTTGAAAAGTATTTTGAATTCATTACTATATTCTGATTATACTCGATGAATTCCTTGTGATTACGGAATTCATCAGACAGAAGCAAAAACTATAAAAATTCAAAAGTTAGATTAGCTGTATATTGTAATGTATGGGGTACAACATGACAAAGTTTGAACTTTCGTTAGAGCGAAAATGGAAATTAGGCCAAACAGTTGGTAGAACAACTTACATAACCACCCATTGAAATTCCGTGAAGTGCAAACGGTCCGTAGCCATTACGCTCACACCATTCTAACAATGCGCTGCATTCCATAATTAAAGCTCCGCCCATGATGAACAGATCAGAAACAAAATTCAGACTAGAACCTCTAGGAGTACAAAAGTAACAGAAAACAACTTATCGATGAAATCCATCCTAAAATATTGCAGAAGGAACATGCTTGTTTGTAGCACATACAGTTTCTGGCCCACTATGACATGAAAATGCACACACAACACGGGAAATGACAATGAAGAAATGAGGGTAGAGTCATGAAATAAAACGTTAAACTGCAAAGGTTGGTATTTAATAAGATGGCTCCTAATTTGAGCCATGTCTGATATCTCACTTGGTTGTTCGACCTGTAATACTCTAACCGAAGAGTCGTCAGCCATGATCAAAATACAGTCTGGCTCAAATGAGCAATACCCCAAGTTGTGGCACCAAATCAGGAAAGCGAGATGAGACTAAGAAAAGTTAAAATAGTAGCAGTACCAATATTAATTGGGAAAACTAGACATCAGCGTTTGGAAAAGTATGTGGAGGACTATTGAAATTTACAGTTTAAGAAAAGGAGTGAATACATCTGCTACTACGACTGGTTCTAGAACATCACCCAAGGTCTTCAACTGTTGATAGTGGTTGTCGTGAAGACGTTAGTCAAATAATCTGCACCTACCACTACGGATGTCCAATAAACAATGGTCTCATGAACTAGTGCAATACCCTGCTTTCGATGCTCCTGGCATCCTTTAAACTTTATCCTATCCAACCACGATAGCGTGTCAAGGTAGGTGGTGGCGGAGGATACATGACAAAATGTACCAACCACGTAAATCGACAAAGATTCACAGCCACTTTAACCACTTTTATACGTTTTTTTAGTGTTTTGTCTGACGACAGAATCAGTTATTCGGTGGTTCCACTGTAAGCAAGAAATTCTTTAAATATATTTGTGATTAAGTAGTCGCAGTTTATGTATCTACTTACATAGGCCACGCTTTACACTGGCAAAATACTCACGTTCTGATAGAGATACTAACAACCTCCATATCCCCCAAGTTATGTAGGCTGAAAAAGACCGAGCAAAATTCCCGAGACTGCATGGAAGTTCCATCAGATACCAACAAACTAGGGTTAGTGAAGCTTCCGAGATAAAAGAAGTGGTTGGAGCACTAACTAATCCACCCAGCGATTCGTGACGCATTGACAAATTCCAGTTCTATACACTTATCGTTCATACCACGACACCATGTCATAAACCATCTCCGTTCTTTTCACGAAGTCCTCGTATCGGAAAATAATGCATGGTGAGAAAGTACCTAAGATGAAATTCACAAGTCATATCCAGGCTACCGAAGCCATTGTTGTAGTAAGTGATGACCAACTGAATTATCATCATTGATTTTAAACACAGAGTTGAACCTCGACGTTACTAACGGGTTTTAAAGGTTGGAAGAATGATATTTTGGAGACAAATGTGAGGGAGGAGAGTTGCTGAACATCCTCAGTTCAGACTGGACAGGTTTTACTAACTCATTGCAAACTGTAATGCTTGCAGCCAGATTAAAATCCCAACATCTCCCAAGATAACACAAAGGACGTCAGGTAGTATATCAGTAATGACGGAAGTTTTCTCCATGTAACCTACTACTGTCGAGTTCGAAAGGGTCATCCAAACGATTTACCTTTCTACCTAGATGACTGGCCAGGTAGTTCAAGATTTCAGCTAAAACTACAATACGTATCCACAGCGCTCTATAACAAGATTATTTAGTGGTAAATCCCATTTCCTGCAACCGGGTTGCAGTCAGTTATTGCGTTGACGGGACTTAAGTGGACATTATTTTTAAACAATATTTTGTCGACTTAATGAGACTTTCTAGCTTAACAACGCATAGCTAGCAACTAATGGGGGTAAGATTGACAGTTGATTTCTCTACTCTGGCATTTACTGTGACATTAATCCACCGAGACAAGATGTCTCTGCTACAGGATTCCTGAGTGAGTGTGCGCAAAATGAGCACCTCGAATCCATAGATAATAATCGAATTTCAAGAATTCACATGGTTCTGGGAAAGGCCTCTCATACTTGACAAATCCTCTTATTACAAAAGAAGACTAGACTGCTGCGAAAAATAGTAATACTCTGGTAGATGCAATTTTCATAAATCTAAATAAAGCCTAGGCTTTAAGTAAAAACTGAGAAGTTTTTGGATCCATTTTGAAACCGCAAACTAGGTGAGACTTTCTCAATGATAGGAGACAACAAATACAAGTAAATGAGGCCCAATCAAGGTGGGATCTGCAAAATCTAGAGTTATTCAAGACAATCCTTGGGCCTCTTCATTTTTACTTTACGTAAATAACTTACCAGCTATCGCAGTCACTTATTCTACACTTTGCAAATTAAATAAAGGTTTGGAGACCCACACACAGTATGTCAGATAGAATATCACCGAATGACCGTAATTCACTAGGGGAATAGATCTACAATTGGTCACTACGAGTTAACTCTAACAACAGTGTAGTGATGCAGATAAATAACTGCAACAACTCACGTCACTAGACATTAAGTGAAATTTTGTTACCAAGCGCAATAGACTATAGAAATCCAGAGGCCATAATGAGCAAAAACCCTGAAACTACGAGTAACTGTAAGGCTTCAGCATCTTATGGTCTACTCGTAATTCATTTTGTTACTTCGGTGCAGAAATGTTAAGGGCATTATATTCGACTTTCGTGAGGACGCATTTAAAATACGGAATTGAAACAGCGAGTCCTTATTTAGATTAGGAAGGGAAGATTGTAGGACGAGTTTAACCGCAAGGTGCCAGAATAATTAGACGTCCATCTGGCCTATCTTATGAAGAATAAGACAGACAGACTGAGATGCTTCATTCTGCATCCGTTATTTTACCACATGTTACGGAGTGATTTAATACTAGCTTACCGCATACCGAACGATAATCTTGGTATTAATGTCTTATTTCTTCTGTCTACGACTAATCGTCTGAGGACACCCTAGGAAATTCAAAAACTGATATCAAATCGTTCACTTTTGGAGATCCCCTTCTCTTACCAATTAGTGAATTACTGGAATCCTCTACCACGAAACAATATCGGTGAGACTATAATTTAATGGGCGAACCAACCAGAGATGAGATAACAAGTTTTAAGTTTTGGCGCGAAGTTCACTCATCCATTCGGCTAAAGTGTTTTAGCATTACAGCTGACATCAGTTCGTGATGAAAATCCTAAGTTCAATTCTTAACCCTAACGATCAACTGTAAATTATAATTCTAAATCCTCACACTGGTTTATAACCACCATTTGGTCCTAGTTATTAGGTGAATACTCAGCACCTATTGAGACGTTCGAAGTGACACTAGATTTTCATAATATTACAGACTGCAAGGATCAATACAGGTTGACTAATTCCCTATCCCTACTATTAGTGAACTATACAACGTAAAACCTAATACAAACATGAGAGTGAAACAAAGCAGATAGTCAAATCAAGATAGTACGAATAAAGAAAACACATTTCCGGTATTTTGTCAGCATTAGTTTGGCTTATTTCATGCAACGAACTCTGAATTGAAAATAAGTAAGTTTAAAAACCATAACCAGGAGATATCAATAGACTAACTGTTGATCGTCGGGTTTGCGCTTAGAGTAAAACGGATTCATCAAAATGATGGACGCTATTCCGTCTTTTATTAAATTATTGGCGAGAAAAATTCTTCTCCTATAATAGTTCTAGAAATATAACGCTACTATAACATGGGAATTACATGATCACCGGTTCCAGAAAAGTGTACACAAACTGCGCGATAATTTGTGGGCCACTTCTTTGGAATGATCATTTGAAACCTGAAAACCTGTAATGGGAATTTCAGTTTTACCTTGCGATCCTGTTATCACCTTTTAATGCATTAGATATGATTGAATCGAATGGAGACATGAATGACCCTTCGATCTGTATGGTGCGGTTGTTCTCAGTTTTCTAAGAATTATGAAGAACTTGCGACCGTACTTTTTCAATATGAACGTCTGCTCTGATGTTCACTGAACAATACTTATCTCGATTAGTCACAACTTTCATATTTTCTATCAACCTATTTCACGATTATATATGTATACGAATATCCACCTTATCAAGGTATCAGGAGCACCCCATCCTTCACTGAAAAACTTTATTGGCACTACACTACGATATATTTTGTCAAATGTACTCATTTTTCCTCAAGTAACCTTGACTACATATTGGTCGTACGTTTAACCACTAGTGACCCTGAAAACAACCTTCGATTCAATATTCAAACAGTTAATTTTGATTGATAAAATTAGCAGACAATTTATAGATAAGTATTTGTCTCCAAGTAGTGGATGAGCCTTTTTAGTCATTAATAGGCAGGTTCCTGCCACCCTTACTAGGAAAGTTCAAGGTGAAACAAGCCAGGTAATTTTATTGGAAGGGATCGAGGGCTAGCACTTGAAGAAGGCACATTCAGTAATTACAAAACAGAAGTGAACATCAAATCTTCTTTGAGAAGATTCTGGAGGAGGTCTCTTTACTATCGGTAATGAGACTGAGTTCTATAGTTGGGTGATTCTAACTATGAAACGTTTGATTCCATTTTTGTGATGACTCGTCTGTATTCCATCTTATAGTGATGTCCTCAGTCTTCAGTAATAAGGATAGTAGGTTGATGAACCTGTAATAATCCTGACACACTGCTTTCCAGTGAAGGTCCAGCTTGTTCAGGTAAGGCGTTCCAATGATTGACTACTCGATGAGAAAAACGGGACCTCACTTTAAATTTATTAGATCTTGGTTTATGAACCTTCTTGCTTTGACCGCGGAGATTAGTAGTGCTAGAGGGAGCAAAAAGATAGAATATATTAACAACCAAATCATAATTTAAAATAAGAAATGCCAGTATAAGGTCACCTCGTGTCCTACGATACGACAAGGGGGAAAGGTCTAGGCGTTTTAAACGCTCATCGTAAGGGAGTCTGAAAAGACCCTTCACTAATTTCGTTCCTACATGCTAGACACGCTCAAGGGAGTTAGTATCCTTTACCAGACACGGGCTAGCTGCTTGGATACAGTACTCTAAATGTGGTCTAACATATATGTGATATAAAATTCTAAACATTTCCTCGTCAAAAGATTTGAACGCTCGGCGAAGTGACCATAACGCACGAAAACCTTTGACAGCGGCTGCTTTGCAATGCTTAGTTGTTTTTAAATAATGACTTAATACTACTCCCAAGTCTTTATGCCGTTGAACGCATGGAAGAGGTTTACCCTCAATAGTATAACGGTAACTATTACCGTAATCAATATGCATTAGCACACTCTTCCTAGAATTGATTTCTAAGCCCCACTCTCGAACCCATCTAACTAAATCGTCTAAGTCAGCTTGAAGATCCAGAAGATCAGCCACACTTTTTATTGTTCTCCAGATTTTTGCATCATCCGCAATTAATAATGTCGACGACCTAAGTAACAGCGGTAACTCATTAACGTAGAGAAGGAAGAGCAGAGGGCCTGAGATGGTGCCTTGAGGTACACCACTTTTGACCGGCTTCCGATCGGATAGCGTTCCATTGACCCTCACTCTCTGTCCGCGGTCACATAAGAAATTTCGGCTGCAATTAAACGCAACTCAAATTCGTAAATGTGCCCTTCAGCTTAACAAACAATCAGAATGAGGCGGGGATTATTATATCCGTCATCTTTGTAAGCAATGGCGGTCGGCTTTCTTCGTTCTGTGCTTTTTTCAGCTATTTCTTTTGTGTATCTACAGAATTTAATGTTTCAGTGTGCGAAAATGCAGATGTTAATGTAATTATCTGAATGTTGGAGCAAAAGTTTTCCTCATTTTGCTTTGTTTTCTGGGTTTTGACTGCTGCTACTGAAATCAATGTATTTCTTCAGTCAAGCTGGCTAGTCTTATCGGTTTTGTTTTGACTTGTTTTCTAGATATCCAAAGCCGAAGATCGTTTTTAGCTGAAATAATTGTGACTGACTGTCCGTATGTTCGTTCCTAACTGTCTTTTATGATGTTATCGTCAAAATGAAAGGAAACAATCTCCGGTTTTCAATTTTCTTCAGTACTATGGACAACACTATCCCACTGAGTCACACTTATACAGAGTGCACAGCAGTAGGGGAACTGTTGTTAAGCTCACTTTCTTATAGATCATATTTCATCACTCGCAAATCTGTGTTTTTTTACGGTATGACGTCAACCGGTACCTAATATGTTCACCCTTAGGATGAAAAGTGCCTGCAAAATTTTACCTTCATATTCGAATTATTTTTTGACAACTGTCGTCCAGTTTGAGTTTTTTGTATGCCCTGGGAGACTAGATTCCCACATTATTCATAGTTCCAGTATAACTTTCTCACGCTGTAAGTTCAAAGTAAACACTAGTCTTCTTAAATAAGCCTGTTAAGCTAATATCCGTATTCTCTATTTCAGTTAATTGATGAAGACATGTACCACGTGCATCTGCTGTATACTGTCATTTTACTCCAATTCTGTTATATCTTCTGAAAAATAAAATTGCTATGTGCAGTAAATACAGACTTTTTTGATGGAGATAGGGGGTTCACGGGATTTTTAGCAGGACTGTAGTAATATTCTCACTAAAGAGCTAAGCGATAGTATCATACTATGATTTACCAATTATTTTTCCTCTTTTATTGTTAACATACCTAGGTTCCTGCCTGGAAGCTTTGGTGATCCCCTGCTTCTAGACACGGATGCCTGAACACATGAATCAGTTGCTGAGAGGCTCATGTATCACAAGTTTCTTGCACTGATTAAGTAGATAAAACAAAGTAGCATTAGATTCAAAAATGTATTCGAGAACTTTCATTAAGAATCGAATATCAAACAAGGGTTCAAACCATGTTCCCGTTTAAAAGTTGCATTGGTAATCTTAAGCTGCAGTCTTTGTTGATTTTTCCGAACGAAAGGATAAAAGAAGTAACTCAAAAAGTACTGGAAGTGGTTATGACACCAAAATGGACGTCCAGCATCCGTATTATAATCTACTTTTAGTTGGGTCTTCCGTAAACAGTTTCATAGGGCCATAGATCTAAGGGCGAAACAGTTCTTAAGATCTGTAAAGGCTCACTCCTGCTGCATTCTAAATGAGAAAATAGTAATGAATTTATTCAGAAATGTGGAATAGATAAATAACCAAATCACATGTTTTTTAGCAAAGAATTTATGCAATTGTGATTTACTTTGAGTTCATGAATATTAGATCAGGTCAGCTACAACTTGTGCAAAGCATAACATAGACTTGGTACAGTATTTCAATGCTTTTATTATTTTGCTCTGATTTAAGTATTACCGTGCATCTGCGTCTAGTTTAACAGGGAGATATACAAGCAGAGTTAGTGTCTGATAAACTAAAAGTCCAAGTTGTCAAAAAGATCCTTAACATTTGTCTACAGCCAGCTGTATTTAATTGAGACACAGAACACTCATCTTCTAAGACTGTATACTGCTCTTCTGCAGGCAACTTAAAGCTCAGACGCTTAGCTATCCTGCTACCGATGTTATTACTGGGAAAATTGTTTAATGACAGTGATCTTGAAATATGGTCAGTGATAGATGTACAGTCTAGAAATAAACATGAAACACACTTAAAGCTATCTTATAATATATGATAGCAACAGCATTAAAGGCAGGGTTTTTTCCTATTTTTAATCAGACTGATTTGAATCAATATACTCATTAAAAACAGGCAGCTCTACTTACTAAACTGATCCGTTTCGGTACAGGCTTTAAGCACTATACTTAAGTATACTATAATTCTATAGACTAATTAAATTATAAGGGCAACCAAGAATACTAAACTAAGCAAGTGTCATAATTACTGTTCCATTTGCACAGACATGTTGCCAAACGGAGTAAAATGAACATAATTCAGCCGATAGAACTAAAACACGAAATATAGGTCAGTCGAACTTACTTAAGAGAAAATGAAGGATACATATATACTGCTTTCATACTGAAGACAACAGGCAGTTGTTCATAAAATCATAGTCTACAGTACAACAAACTTTTCTTCAATAACATCATGCACTGACGGTCTATCTGGAAACAATAAACTATGTGAGTGAACTCACTATGACTTGAGATATCATCCCAGCGTGCAATGAACGTACAGTGTAACGCAGTCAGACGTGGCGAATAAAAACTAAAAAAAGAGGAAAATTAGCTACATAATCTAGTTATTTAATCAAAAATACATTATGAAATGACAAAACCTGTGGTTGTTTGAACGCACAGATGACAGTTATTACACTGGGCGATACATTAAGTTTACATGGTTGCGTTGCGGATAAGTTCACCTGAAATTTCCAATCCACTCATGTACAGTACGGATACATTATTTCAAAACCGCTCGCGACACTCTTCAACATGTCCCTTTCACTCGCTCAACTCCCTAGAGATTGGAAGGACGCTATAGTCAGTCCTATATTAAAGGTATCTAACTACCGGCCTGTCAGTCTAACTAGCATAGTCGTTAAGTTACTTGAAAAGACAATTCGGGTTAAGTTGCTAAGCCACATAGATTTACACAATCTGTTAGCTCCTGAGCAACACGGATTTTGTAACAAGCGTATTCTATACGGATATTTGAGTCACGAGTTTTTGGTGTGTTTTTCAATAATATGTCTCTTGTTTTGAAACTCCCGAGAACCAGCTTCAGAATTCTTCTTGGTTGGGTCTCACATCCAACCCATTTACCGAGTCGTATTACTTTTGTAATATGTACCCCTGAAACCTCATCAGTTAGCACATTTCTTACCACAGACTCCACTAACTGCAGGTCATGTGCATACCTTCAAGCAGGGTCGTTATCTATCGACTCCTCTAGATTCCAAATAATTAAACTAGGAAGGGGTTTAGCTTCTTTTGAAATTGTGTTAACAGCTTTCGACCGTGACGATAGATCCTGTATATTAACTACTGGTATCTTACGATTAGCTTTTATTTTAACAGGGTCCTGTGAGTGACTCACAACAGTGTTAGACGAAGCTTTACTTTAGAGCTTTGGTGGATTGGTCTGAGAGTCCACCAAGGACTTATCAAGTAAACAGTCATTAGTTTTAGCTGTTATTTGACTTTTCTTCTCAGTTACGCTAGGATGGGTTTCACTCTTACCATCAGATTTTGTTAGTGTAGTATGTGACTCACAATGAG